AGCTCGGGTACGGGGGAGCTGGTGGCTACTGGGAGGACGCCAGGGAGCGGGGCTGGGACAGTCCAGTCCTGGGACCCGCACCATGGGCTCAGCGCGGTGCCAGGGATGCCCAGATTTGGGGTGATGAGGTTGAGCCGAGCCAGGCAAGCAGTCCTGGGATCCCCCCTGGCATTGTCCCCCACCCACGAGGCTTGGGGACAGTGGAGGATGCCAGGGGCCAGATGGGGTCCAGTTGGGGACCGTGGTGCCCGGCGAATGGGATGCCCACCCAGGGGCAGCAGCTTGGGCTCAGCGCGGTGCCAGGGATGCCCAGATTTGGGGTGATGAGGTTGAGCCGAGCCAGGCAAGCAGTCCTGGGATCCCCCCTGGCATTGTCCCCCACCCACGAGGCTTGGGGACAGTGGAGGATGCCAGGGGCCAGATGGGGTCCAGTTGGGGACCGTGGTGCCCGGCGAATGGGATGCCCACCCAGGGGCAGCAGCTGGGTGCCACAGGAGGGGCTCGGCCAGGGTGGGTGCAGGGCCAGGGCACCGCAATCCTAGGGTGCCCGTCCCCTCTTCCTGTGCCTGGGAACAGCCCCAGCCCCACACGGCTGTGTCTGCCGGCACCATGGGGAGCACGTGGAGGTCCTGCGGTGTGTCCTGCCGAGAGGGACAGGAGGAGGGACGCTGTTCCTGGCAGTCAGGAGGTGGCCATGTCCCCGAGGAGGCAGACAGAGAAGGGTTGTGTCCCCAAGCAGGCAGAGGGGGGTCCTGCCCCCAAGCAGGTGAAAGCAGCCACAGCCCCAAGACAGGCAGAGGGGGACCCCAAGGAGCCAGAAGATGCCCATGTCCCCAAGCAGGCAGAGGGGGACCCTGTCCCCAAGGAGCCAGAAGATGCCCATGTCCCCAAGCAGGCAGAGGGCGACCCTGTCCCCGAGGAGCCAGAAGATGCCCATGTCCCCAAGCAGGCAGAGGGGGGCCCTGTCCTCAAGGAGCCAGAAGATGCCCATGTCCCCAAGCAGGCAGAGGGCGACCCTGTCCTCAAGGAGCCAGAAGATGCCCATGTCCCCAAGCAGGCAGAGGGCGACCCTGTCCCCGAGGAGCCAGAAGATGCCCATGTCCCCAAGCAGGCAGAAGGCGACCCTGTCCTCAAGGAGCCAGAAGATGCCCATGTCCTCGACCAGGCAGAAATAATCTTGTCCCTGAGTAGGTACTCAGTGATCCTGTCCCCAGGCAGGTGAAAGTGATCTTGTCCCCAAGGAACCAGAAGATGCCCATGTCCCCAAGCAGGCAGAAGGCGTTCCTGTCCCCAGGCAGGCAGAGCAGCCAGAAAGCAATCCTGTCCCCGAGCAGGCAGAGCAGGCAGGAGGAGCAGAGGTTGGCAGCGAGCACAAGGTGGCTGGCACATGGGATGACGATGCCCCGAGGGCGGCAATGCCCTGTGGGGTGACGATGCCTCGCAGGGTGACGATGCCACGTGGGGTAACGATGCCCCACAGGGTGCTGATGCCTTGTAGGGTGACGATGCCTGATGGGGTGACGATGCCCCATGCAGTGACAATGTCTCTTGGGGTGACAATGCCCCATGGGGTGACAGTGCCTTGCAGGTTGATGTCCCCAAGGGGTGACGATGCCCCAAGGGCCAGGTGCTGTGGGGCCAGCCAGGAGCTCCAGTGCTATGTGTCCATGGGCAGCTCTGCCCCATGTCCCCTCTGTGCTGGGGCAGAGCTGGCCCCTCTCCCAGGGCTGGGTGCTTGGAAAGCCAGGTGCCACGTGGCCGGGGCTGTACGGTGTCCCCATGGGTTTCTCCTGGGACACCCTGGCGCCTCGCCGACAGCAGGGGGTGGTAGCTGGGATCTGCCCACCCCAGAACAGCCACTCCAGCTCTGGCTGCTGCCCCAATGCCAGAGACACCCACAGACCCATGGGTGCCAGCCTCCACCAGCCGGCCCCGAGCCTGGTCACGGGGAGCAGGGGGGCTCCGAGCTGCCGCAGGGGCCCCCCTGGCCACCCCAGGAGCTGGGGTGAAGGGGACGGTGCAGCACCCGCGTGCCCGCCCAGCCTTTTGGGGGTCATTTAGCATTTATTCAACTCAAGGCAAGGAACAAGGCAAGGGCTGGGGGTGCGGGGAGCCGTCGGCATGCCACGGTCACGGGGTCACATGCGGGGACACCTTTTTTGTTGCTGGGGAAGGAGAAAGCTAAACTTGAGAACTGACCGGCTCTGGTCCGTCGGTGGTGGGTGGAGAGGTGTCCCGTGTGCTCGTGTCCTTCCTCTTCTCCTCCTCCTCTTCCTCGTCCGACCTGCAGGAGGGGGGCAGCCTGCTCAGCAACCCCAGCAGAGCATGGCACCCCCAAAATCCCCGTCCCAGCCAGCTTGCTGGGGAAATGCAGCCACCAGTCCTGCAGGGACTGGGGACACTGCTGTTCTCCTGTGTCCGTCCCCCCCCCGAGGGATGAAATCCCCGGCACGGCAGGGCTCGACCTTCATCTCTGCTCTTCACCTGCATCGATTTACTGCTCCAAAAGGGCAAATTGCCAAAAAAACCCCTTAGTGCTTTAGGAGGAGGGATACTGGAAATGATGCCCAGGAACCGGCCGGGCGCCACAGGCTGCGCCTGGCCACAACGCTGCCACGGCCGCCTGGGGACGGCACCGGCATCTCTTACCCAGCCTCCAGCTCTCCATCCAGATCCAGGTGGTCATCGGCAGCCTCGGTGCGTGTCACCCCATCCCACGCTAGCCCCTCACGTAGCGTCCGCCCGCCCAGGAGCTCCAGCTGCCAGGGAAGGGGGCGAAGGCATTAGGGGCTGGCAGGGATGTGGGGTGGGGAAACTGAGGCAGGGCAAGCAGAGGCAAGCTGGGACAGGTTATGCCCCGTCCCAAGCCTTCCTCACCGTCGTCAGCTTCCTCAGGGCAGCGATGCGCTCCTCCCAGGTGGCTGAGGACTTCTCAAAAGTCTCGTGCCGCTTGAGCAGCTTTTCCACCGCATCCACTGTCTGCCCATAGTCGCTGCTGGCCAGGTAGGGCTCCTGCGCCATGAGCCACGACTCGGCCATCGAGGCGTCCCGGGAGAACTGGCAGACCTCGAGCACTGCGGGCAGGGACGGGCAGTGCTCAGTCCCCTGCCACCACTCCCTCCAGCCGAGCCACAGTCCCCTCCGGCACCGCCGGTGCACTCACACAGCTGCAGCCGGTCCCGGCGCTGCTCCCACATCTCCATCATGGCCTTCTTCTTCTCCTCCAGCTCCACCAGCTTCGCCTTGATCTGCAAGGGGACACTGTCACAGGGTGACCCCGGCGGCACCGTCCCCACCGCGTCCCAGCCCCGGCTGCCCTCACCTCGGGCGAGTCTTGGTGCTTGCGCTGCAGCAACTTTTTACCCAGCTCAATGCAGGTAGCGAAGTTCTTGCTCCGAGCGTCCACCTCAGCCTTGATGTCCTGGTGGTACTTCATGAGCAGCTCCACCGAGGAGACGTCCCTGGAGACACAGAAGTGCCAGGATCAGTGGTGGCATCGGTGCTGGCAAACGGCGACGGGTGCCTGCCAGGCAGACTCCTACCTGGGTTTCTCCTGCGTCTCAATCTG